TGCTCCATGATGAATGTTCTTTTTCAAGGATATTATATTTATATAATAAAGAAGAGCAACATGCAAGCATTTACCTATAATAAGGAAAAAGAGGACTAAAAAAGTAGTTCATGTGTGCAACATGGCTGAGTTAGTTGCCAGAGTAACCATAAGATAGACGATTTCTTCTGTGACACTAGATTTAAATCTTCATTGTTGTATCAGTATTAGTGTTGTTTGCATTCGATCCTAAGTTTTTGTTTGCCTTTTCTTTCCTCTATCTGTAATTGGTTTGTCCAGTTTAGCCAGTCCATTTTGTTGCCAGTTCCTTTCTCCTTAGTTGTTCATTTTGCTCAGTTGACAAGCTCCCGTGGTGTGAGCTTCGTCAGTGGAGTTACTCCTGACTTATATCAAGTATAGTATGAACGGCCTCTGGTAAAATAACGTTTTGTTCCAAAACATTATTGAGGGCAGCTTAACAGATATACCCTCTGTTGCTTCATGCTTCTACATTGGCCATATAATAAATGATGAGCAGGGGGTGGGACTAGATGACCTCCTGAAGTCCCTTCCAACCCTAATTTTCTATGATTCTATAAATTGTCCAGAAATTAAGATCTATTAATTTCTTGCATGGTGGGAAGTCTTATTAGTATTCCATTAACAGTAATTCTGTTGTTATTGTCTCACTGCCCAATAGTTTTAAACACACTTCTATTGTGTAATTTTAAACTACACTTCTATTTTTATTCATAAAACAAAACCAACCAAATAAAAAACCTTGACAGATGGTTTTTGAACCCAAAAACTTGCTTAAAAATTGTTCTCCAATTATTTAAGTTGGTCTAATAAAAGGTATCAGATTCACCCAAAGAACCTTGTCTGCCTATGTAGACCAACACAGCTACAGCCTACACCCCTGTAAATAAAAAACCTTGAATTTAAGGCTAGATTAGATTTTAATCAGTTAGGCATGTCTCAGGAATAATAATCAATTATCTTGTCACTTGACTTGTAAGTGACAAGATAACCCATTAGAGGTGCTTTAAAACCAAAAGGCAGACAAGGTTCTTTGGGCAAATCTGGTATCTTTTATTAGACCATCTCAAATAGTTGGAAAAATTCTTCTTTGCAAGCTTTCGGGTACAAAAACCCTTTGTCAGGCTAATAAAAGATATCAGATTTATCCAAAGAACCTTGTCTGCCTGTCCTTAGACCAACATGGCCACAACCTATAACATTAAAACCAAAAAGAATATTAGGAAATAAAAAGTTAAGTTCAATTGCTTTCTTTAAAGAGACAATGAAGGGTGACTAGGACTTTTCTGATGGGTCTGCGGTCATTGTTTTGGACATGGCTGCATAGCCTGGACAGACAGAAATAACTGTACTGATGAGAGGACTCCTGTCAAAATCTTTGACTATGGATGCTATCGATTGACCTGACTGCATAGCAGCTCTTGTAGATTTCCAGAATGGAGCTACAACTGTTGCTTGGCCACAAGGTGGCACTTGATGCCTAACAATTGTGCTCATCTCATGTTTCTACCATCAGCAAAAGGAGAAAATGAAAGGGAAATGTGTTTTGCTCTACTTCAATCAACAGAACGTCAGAGAGTGTGCATGTATATTATTGACTTGTAGTGTCCTTCATTCATAAACATTTGTTTTGAATTTCCAATTTGCTCCTGTTCTTTAAATGAACTTCTTTGTTCTTCCTTTTCAAATGAATAACCATGTTACCACAGGAGACACTGAGACATCAGTGAATCATGTTTGACCACTGATCTCTGGCTTTGCTTGGAAGCAGTTTGGACATAAGTGTCCTTACATGAAAAAAAAAATATTCCTAGGAAGGGAGAGCTGGACTAAATACCATTTGAACAAAGAATTTGAATACTTAAGAACTGAATGTCAAGATCAGCCTGAGCCGCAAGGTTCAGACTTGGGTCTGAAATCCCCCAAAGTCTAGAAGATTCAAGATCCAGCGTTTGGCCAAACATAGCTTGTTGATAAAGAGCAGACATGTCCATCAGATTTAAAGACATACTTCCCCCAATTGTCATTTATGTCTAAGATTTCAGCCTCATCTTGATTCTGTTATATTTGAAGAATGATGTTCAGGTCAACAAAACAAATGGATTACTATTGCCTGTAAACAGTGTGTTGTGAGAAATAGCAAAAGGAGAAGGTGGCTGTAGTATTTACAAGACTTGCGTCACATTTGTACCAGTGATATGATCTATCACATTCTTACCCCCATCTGGCATCACTTCTCTTGCAGGGCTAGTTTTTGTCCCCAGTCACAATCCTGTAAATCTGGAGTAATTTAATTGTAGTGAAGGAGCAGAATGGTAAAATGCAGTTACTCAGAATTACAGCCAAGAGCGCAGAAGCTGAATATACTGGGGCTAGATTTTCAGTGGCATTTAGGTGCCTAGCAGGATTTTCAAGAGGCACCTAACATATTTGCACAGGTAGGTGCCCAACTCCCATTATTGTCAACAAGAGTTAGGTACTTAACCTAGGGTGTTGTTACATTTTACAGTTCACAAGCTGGAAAGCTAGGGGGTGGCTAGGAGCTACCTAGGCTGCCATGTGGCTGCCTGGTTCTGCAGCAAGTACCCACTCGCCCTACCCCAACTGCACAGCTCCCTGGCTCTCCCTGCTCCCCCTTCTCCTGCCCCATGGCTCTGTGGCTCTCCCCAGCTCTTCTCTCCTTACCCCCTGGCCCCTCACTCCTTAGATCTCTGTCACACTAGGACAACAGATTCTGGATGACAGATTGTCCATGTGGGGAGAATGGGAACAGTGCATCCTGGGATACTGGAGGACAGCAAATTTCTGGTATTGCTCTGTGGAGCAGTCTGATGTTACTGCAACATGAGCTGACTAACACCACCTGGAGGCATAACTTTGAGACATCAGAGGGCACTTAGCTTGTTTATTCCTGCCTTACTGTGTGGACACTCCTATCTTAAAAGCATTAAACACATGAGAAAGATAATGTCTAACAAACTCTTACTTGATACTTACTGGGATTTTCAGTTGTGTCTGTCTACCCCTTTCAGCGTTCATTTGAAAACCAGGCCAAGTTGAGACAACTCTATTTATATAAATGGGACTGGACTTCAAAAGAGTTTGGATTTAGCCTGGACCTTCTGGGTGCCTATATACATGCTCTGCCATGTTCTAATTGGAAGGTGTTGGAGCAGTAACTGAGTCTGCTCCATGCTGCGTTCTAATTCGAACACTCTAGCATTTCTGGAGTGTGACATGTATAAGCCCCTGCAGATTTCAAAATGGCTGCTGGGGTGCTTTATCTAAAGTTTGTCACACAGCATCCTGTGGCCATTTTTAAACACACAGAGGCTTAATACATGTGACGCTGTGGCATTTTAATTAGCATGACTCTCTGGGAAGTACTCTAGTTAAAATGTACCCCCCCACCCCCCTGAGTATGTGAATAGGATCCTTCTGTTTTGGGAATTGTTAATGTCAGTTGTGAGAGCCTGTAAAAACCTATCCAGGAGCTTGGCAAGATTTCCATTCTCATTGAACAAAGCTCCTGCCAATGCTAATACTAGTGTTCCCTCAAAAGGTGGGCACCAAGAATAGTATTAAAAGTAACATTGCTATTCCAAATGCAGTGGCTATGACATTCTCAGAAAAACTTTAGGGTACAGCTATTCACCACACTTGCAATTATCTTCATCTGCTAGAGGATGTGTGTATGAGAGAGAATGGCATTTTCCATGGACATTTTGTTGTGGTAACCACCTCACTCATCAGTTTCCTCGTGGTAATAGATCAAACTTGTTATTATGCACCCAAGTAAGATTACAGAGACCAGATTCTGATCTCTCTGAAATTAGTGGAAGTCTGGAGTCCTCCCTTAACATGAAGATGCTACAGAAAACAAAAAGGCAAGAAGAAAAAAATACATTTAGAGATAGATACTAGGATACAGAGAGACTGAAAAAATTGCCTTCCTGGGCACTGCTGCCCTTAGCTGTTACATTGTACTTAGATATTGTGGTGTGAGACATTATTAAAGTGCATAAGACATATAAATAGCTTTCAATCCCTTTTGTCACTCCTTTAAGTTCTGTCCAGATAAACTCCCTGAATCTGTGTATTTGGATGCCAAGTGCATTGTATTCACAACTGATGCATCAGAGCATGAAAACACTGGATTTCTACTTTGTACTAAAAATCACTTTCTTCTCCTATTATCTCTGTACTTGACCTCTTTAGCTCTGATGTTAAAGCTTTGCTTGGCAAGGATACGTTGAATAGTAAGTTGTTAGTTTCTTAATTCTCGGTGGATGTCTTTGTTCTCTGTGCAATGGGCTCCAGACATTACAAATTGATGCATTAAAAAAAATCTCAGTGTTGGTAACAAAACATCAACAAGCATAGGCAACTCAGACAATCCAGAACAACCCAGAGCACCTGCCCACACAATCTGAGAGCAGACAGTACTACCATGGTAAGCTTCTTTCAGCATTGCTGTTTTAGGGAAACATATGCAGTGAAAGAACACATTTTTTTAATTCACTAGCCAGTTTCATAAGTCAGATGTAAATACCAATTATGCTGTGGTTTTTCCTAACAAAACAGTTGCCTTTCAGTCAAGTCTTCAGCTTGATGCAAGATCCATCAGTTTCCTTCTTTGATCTGTCTATATTTTAGCCATATGCATTCCAAAAAGAGTTCACTTAACTGGCAACAATTTTTTGTAAACATCTTTAATTACATATTGGCCTTAACATTTCATTAATATGTTTTCTCTGTGGAAACCAGGACCACTGATATGCAAAGAACAAGTATCCATAGGTTCTGCATGAGGGTTGGAATGAGCGGAGCTATTAAACAAACAAACTTACAGGAAATGAGTAAAAATATAATTGTTTCCTTAAAGAGGCCATCGTGTCATTTTACTTAATTAGCTTATTAAGAGCTCTACTTTTGTTCATGTTCCATTAGGCATAACATGTTAATTTTTTCCCCCTCTTTAGTATGGTTTTATCAATACCTGCCTGAAATCTCTTGTTATAGAGAAATTTGGAGACAAGACCTGGGAAAAACTCAAGTAAGTTTTAAATCCTTTAGAAGAAAAGCATTCATATGAGAGTTGGGATTTTCATAATGAAACCAAGGATGATTTAGATTTGACTGTGTCCTGTTGAACATTCAGGCCACAGAGCTTTATATTTCACAATTATAATTAATTATAAGCAGAGCGCGCCAAATTCTGTGCTGAGTTACATCCTCATTGAACTTAAGGGAGTTGTGCTCAGTGTAAATCAGCAGACAGCCTAGGAGAGGCAAGTTTATCCCAAGTGTAATTTAGTAAAGTCAGTGGAGTTCTACAGGAGATGAATTCATCCTTGCAATTAATAATGTTTTTAGTTTATGCCACCTTCACATTCCCCCTCTGCTGTTTCATTTGTTGCATGTTGCAAAATATCAAATTCCAAGCACTTTAAATGGAAACTTCAGAGCTGGATTGATACATATTTGGTTAAGGAGTTGTACATGGCTACAATAAGCCACAAATGTCTGGGGGTTGTTGGATTTTTCACAGACCCATCTCTATTGTATGGAGGAAGCAGTAGAGAGTAGAGGAAACCTTAAGTAGTACAGCTGACCCTGGCTAGAAAGGAGAACCAGAGCTCCTTGAAGCTAACAGACATTTCTGTGCCTCTTTGATGCTACACATCTCCCAAGATGTAGCAGCTGTTTGGGGAATTAGGACTATGGGCATACCTACACCATCTCTGTGCTGAGTCTGTGAGCATCACTGTATAGCACCCTCTACCCACTCGCTCCTGGTTTCTATGCCCAATCTGGAAAATTGCTACTTTAGAGTGGCACGAAGTAGTCAAGAGCTACGCTTAGACTCTCTTGTCTCTGATGTGCTTGCTGATAGTTACAGCTAGTCCACGTTGCCTAATTTGCAAAATTTACTGCATATTGGTGGGTGGTACAGGATCTGGTTTGTGGGTGGTATGTGCGTCTTATATACAGGGCATATCTACCCAGTCTCTGGACTGTGTGGGTGATATAGAGCCCAACCTTCTCCCACAATTATATGAATAGGGAAAAATTCCATAAGGGAATTTCTCATGCAATTTGCTTCCCCAGAGCCCTATACCATTGAAAGGAAGGACAACTTTGCTAACAGACAGCAAAGAATGCATTTATAATAAAGGAAATAACCTTGCAAGCTTTTCAGGTTATTGTTAACAGAGTCCATTGATATTTTGGAACTTCTGAATTCTAGTAACAAATGCCATAGAAATGCCAATAAGTATGGAAAAATGAAGAGTGTGAACTCTCATTTGTAATCTCTAGAACAACAGATTTGGTGTCTATTCAATGTTTTTCATGTCATGCAGTTCCAGTCCCTGGAAAACAACTTGCATGTCAACCTGAAGTGCTGCGTGCCCTGATAATTAATATAAAGACTAAACACAGACAGATGGCAAAATAAACTCAGTAAGATGGGTGTAAAGCTGGAGTGATTTTCACCAGTGTAACTGGGAGCAGAAGCTGAGCCAAAACATATAGAGAGCTCTCAGTGCAGTTTGAGCCATCACAGTTTGCACAAAAGATCCAAGAATCATGTTCTTGGCTTCTCATGCCTGTATATCAAGCAGAGTGTACAGTGACATTTGCAGAGTGTTTTTGGCTGTCTTCAGCACATACACATGCTTATGTTGGGCCTCACATTTATTTCTGTCTGACTCTGGCAACTCTTTTAAGCTGAGCTGATAGTAGTTTTGTCTTTCAGATGTTCACTTACATTGTTATCTGCAACTATGCCAGAAACACCCAACTTATTAAGACCATGCTCCAACTCTCTTCTGCTCGGCTCCCAAACAGTTTTGTCCTATATAGAATGCCTGTGAAACCAACAGACATTTCCTACACAGTGGTTTACTGTAACTAGAACAGAGGAGAAAAACTTCATTAGGGACATGCTTAAAATTAGAATAGGAAGGAATTAGCAACATCACATGTGATAAAAATAGAAAGAACAGCAGAAACCTGAAAGGACTTTGGGGCAGGACCTGTGACTGTTTTGCATAGGGCTGATCACATTGATAATGCTCACAGAGTAACCTATGAAGGTCAGTAATACAAATTAGACCAACCCCTGTTGATGTGGCTGAGAAGAAACATGCTTGAATACCCAACTAGTTTACGTAGGGAATTGAATCAGATCCCATTTATACCAGCAGCTTTCCCAGAGAGCAAAGATTGGGAAGGTTGAGGCACATGAAAGAGGCTCAAGAGAATTAGGGTCAGTTCCCAGATTTTCCAGAAATATCTATTTTGACCATAGTCAAATCATGTTGGACAGGATTTTCTAGATGTTGCTAACGATCCTGAGTGTTTGGTATGAGGCACCTGATAGTCACCACACCACCCCTTTGGGCCTCACTTGGTATATCCAAAATGCAATAATGTTTAAAAAATATTTGCCTTCATTTTCATGCCAAAATTCCCTGCTTTTAAACTGATTCTGCCCTTCTCACACTTTGTCCATTTAGACCATAAACTCTCCAGGGTAGCAACAGTCCCCTACCCCATATTTGTACAGCTTCTACTATATGTTTGTCCTGTGCTTGGCACACCAAAACCCTGATTTCATTCAGTGCCCCTAGATGCAATATAAATAATTCCAAATAATGCAACAGCCACACAGCTGTTTTTAAATGGTTGTCATCTACTGCATCCTGCCCAGTTTTCTAAGGCAGAGAATCCAGGAATTGTTCCCCAACATGGCCATATACAGCATGTATAGCTGGCACAGTCCAAAATCCTTTTCCTGAAGGATTAAATACTGGTATGTTCTCCTTCATCACTGACCATCATGTGACTATCTTGGTTTACCTCTCTTTATGTTTTGAAAGATGTGCTTAACTGGGGCTAGCTCAAAGAAACCCTTACCTTGCCTTCTAGATCCTTTCTGCCCCCATTCATACACCTCTCCAGAAAACTCTAGACCTCTGTGCCAAGGAACAACTGGATGCAATTGGGGGATGTTGCTACTTGGAGGAATTACTCATGTAAACATGTGGAGTATTAGAATAAGCTGGGACCTGATCTCCCTAGTCTGGTTTCACTGCACTCAGCTCTATCAGTGGATGGATTGGCTTCAGGCAGTTACCAGACAGAATGGCTTCCCTTCTGTGTTTTCCTAAGTCATAATCTACTGTATTTTTTCAGAACACAGGCAGGGATCCAAGACACCTTCATGACTTATACAGTGTATGATGATGTTATCACCTTCAAGCTGATCCAAGAAGCCTGCAAAACACTAAGTAAGAACAGTTTATTCCTTTACTTATTAAGCACTGACAGCTTAGTGCAATTCAGATGCTGTTTTTATGCCAAGAAGCCAGATGATGGCAGTACCTGGGATCAGAGCAGAGTTGCATCATTCCAGGGGAAGTTGTGGAAGGCTCATGCTGGGGAGACCCAACTTCACTTGGATCTGCTTAGTCTGAGGGAGGAGAAGGAAGGGGCCATCCCCCAGAAGGATGGGGCAGTGCATGCTCTCTCCTTGCCCAGCCAGCTTGGAGATCCAGCCTCTTCCCTGAACTCCCCAGCCAGCAGCCATATCATGGCATTTCATTACAAACCACATTTTTTTCATGAAAAATGCAAAATCATGATTTAAACCAGGTCCTATGTATAGTATAAGCTTTCATAAGCAGATGGATTACTTTCTCAGATGCTGTGAAGGGACCCATGGATGTTAAGTATGTTGTCATTATTATGTCAAGTATGGCCTAGACCAGTGGTCACCAAAGAGTCAATGGGGATCGACCAGTAAATGCCAAAGCACCTTGAAGTCAATCCTGGGCTGCTGGGGCTGAGTGCATGCGTGCATGTCCATGCCACACCCCTCCCCACAAGCCCAGCAGTTCAGTCAGTGGGGGAGGGAAAGAGTGAAGACCCAGGAGGCATGTGCAGCAGGGCTCAGGGTGCAAAGGGCAGCCCACAGTGGCAGCCAGGGTGGGGTGGAGGATGGAGCCACGAGTGGCTCATCCAGGGACATGGGGAGTGGGGGTCATGCAGCCCAGGAAGGCACAGGGGGTGTATGCGCCTGGATCTGTGACCAGGGTGGGCTGGGGCCAGGACAGCGTTGGGCTGTTCCCAGCCAGGCTGCATTCAGGCCAGGTAGCTGTGGTGGCAGTGCTGGGAGCAGGGCCACAGGGGGGCCATAGTCCCCCCAACCCCCACTCCCAGTGCTGCCGCTGAGCACAGTGCAAGCCAGACCTGATGGTAACAGCCTGGTGCGGCCTTCCCCACCCCACCCCTCCCAAAGACATGGGGGCTGGAGGCATGGGAGAGGGTGGGCTGCAGCTGTGGGCTGAAAGGTTGCACCAGGCTGTTCCCTCTAGGCCTGGCCCACGTTGCGCTCTGTGCAGATGGTGGCAATGCTGGGAGTGGGAGGGCTATTCCCCACCCCCCGTGGCCCTGCTCCCAGTATTGCTGCCACAGCTGCCCAGCCAGGAGCAGCCCACAACCTGCCCCACCCCGCAGGCAGATCTGGGGGCATGTGCCCCCCCATGCCCTCCTGGGCTGTGTGCCCCATCTCCCCACACCACCCAGATGAGCTGCTCATAGCTCTGTCCCCCACCCCACACCATCCTGACTGTGCAGGGCCTGTCCCAACCTCACTGCCATGGGAGGGGGGTGCAGATCAAGGCCCTAGTGGTGAAGGAGGGCTAGAGATAGGGCCTCGATCTGCCTTGCCCCACCATGGCCCTTTCCCCTCACCCCTCCACAGACTTACCTACTGGGCACGGGGGGAGGGGGGGCGGTGAGGGGCAGGGGCATAGAACTTTGGTTCCTTTTAAATTTCAAAAGTTATCTCCAACCTAAAAAGGTTGGAGACCACTGGTCTAAACCAAGGGTGTTCAGTCTTTAGCCCACAGGGCAAATCTGGCTCACAGAGCTGTCATCTGGCCTGCAGGGCTCCCCACTTGTCTGGAAACTTGGTGGTAGGGGAGTGATGGCATCACTCCCCTACTGCCAAATCTTCTGACCTGTGGGCAGCCCTGGACCTTACAAGCTGGACCAGGAATGCAGTCCCTGCACATAAGGCCAGGCAGGGGCAGCACTGGGACCCCAGTGGGAGGGAGTGGTACCTGGCCCCCAGGACCCAATCCCAATGTGCAGAGGGCAGGGGGGTGGCACTGGATCTCCAGGACCCAATCCTGGCATGTGGAAGGTTGGGAGGGGGCAGTGCCAGGCCTCCAGTATCCAATCTCAGCAAACTAGGGGATGAGGGAGTGGTATCAGGCCTCAGGGTCCAATCTGTGTCACTCATTTGGCACCTGGAGCCACTGGTCTAAATCAAGACTATGAAGTCTTATCCTATTACCTGGATTAATTTTTATAAACCCACCGAGGGACATAGGGCTAACTGCTTTGTTTTTCTCTCTTTGCCTCTCTCAGCAGTGTCCCCCACCCTTTTTTCTTCCCCCTTTGTACTCTAATCACTGCTTTCTGTTCCTGAAGTCCCTTCACAGCAACTGATGAAGCAAGCCCTCTATTTACAAAAGCTTTTACTATACATCTCTAAATTAGTCTATAAATGTTAAAATCTACCCTGCCTCTTGCTATGTCTAGAGCTGGGCCCATCTCAGGACATACCCCTCTAATTTTAGGGGTGCATCTATACCATGCATTCAGTGTGATGTTCCCCAACCCATCTTACCTGCCCCCTACTGCTTGCAAACACCATGCTTGGAAACACGGCAGTGAAACTAATCTAGGGAATGCCATTTCCCCAGTGACCACTCTTGAGACCTTGACCTCCAGCATGCCTGAGAGCAACTTCTAGGTATGCCCCAGGGATGGTCTTACTTGGACATTTTGGGGTTTGGAGTGAGAGCAGGTTTTAAGGGAGTAGGGGATGCTGAGGGCGATCCCTACCAGCACACACTGAGAAGGTGGGGTAGACATCCCCTGGATGTCTTTGGAGAGATCCTTCTAAATTTTGAGGGCAACTCTTGGGAAGGATGACTGAGGTAAGAGGTTCATTGGCTTCTGAGCACAAGTTTTGACACTAGGGCCCCTCAAAAACCATGCTCTCAGCATGACTTTATGATGAGATGCAACTTTCACACTAGTATAATCTTTGCAAGCTTTGTGGTTGTGATAAATTGATCTGATGATACATAGTTCTCAGGGCCTTTGAATGGTTGGAGGTGCTCCTACCTGGCAGCCTAATAAACACTCCACTAAATTCCATATAATATGGCTGTTACAGGCAGCCAGATAGGAATATATCTCATTGGTTTGGAGCTTATCTACAGCACCTTCCTACTGAACCTGGGACTACCAGCCTGAAGAATGCTCTACCCACTTGCTCCTGTTCAGTCCAAACCCATTCCAAGAAATGAAACTATGTACCTAGTTTGGAACAGCCCTGAGCATATAACGAGAAGCATGCCTGATATAGGGAAGCAGAATATGGAACTGGAACACATGTGTGCTCAGGACTGCTTTAAAACAGGTATAAGGCCTTATTTGGGAGGCTTTGGGACATGGGGCTTTGGGACTTCAGGCTCCCACTAAACATGTCCCATGAGATTTGGAACATGCTTAGTGTGAGCAAATGTTTAGGGGGCAGAGTACATTTCTTCGTGGCAGCCCCAGTCACAGCACAGAAGCAGCGTAGACATGTAAGACAATATGAGGTTGAATTACATGTAAGAGGTGTCAGGAGAATATTTTTGATCCAACTACTTACTCTGCTGTAGAGAGATGGGAGGAACTCTATTTACTAGCAGCCTGCAAGGGACTACATAATTAACACTGTAAGACACAGAAATACCAAATGAAGGCCTGTTTGGATAGAGGACAACAGGCCTAAATTAAAGGAACTAGACTCCAGGGACCAAGTACTACCTATTACACTGGTCTAAAGGAGGATCCACTCTGCTGAAGTCAACAGAATTCCACTAGTGTAAAAGGGTCTAACATTTTCTATTGGAAGTACAGCTATAGTGGTTACTAGCTAAAATCAGGTAAATTTAGAAACAAAAATAGACATAACTTGGAAAGTTAATCCCCATCAAATTATCCCAGTTTTCAGCATACCACTAGTGTAATTGGAGGGTGAGGGGGGATGACCAGGGCAGGAGCCTCGAGCATGGCCCTTGTTGGGAGGGAGCACGCAGAAACAGTGACCCCCCCAAAGTGGTAGCTGATCACCAGGGATCCTGGTTTTGTCTGATAAGAAAACATCCCTAATTTTTGGATATAAAAAACTAACCCAAAATCTACATTTTCCCACGATATATAATTAGTGGCGTTTCATTTTAATCATAGAAAATGTGGATTTTTGGTTACTTTTTTATGTCTAAAAATTGGGGATATTTTCTTATCAGACAAAACCAGGATCTTTGCTGATTACACTGCTACAATTGGCATAGCAGTGGCCAGTGCTTCCCTGTGTACCCTGGCTGCCCTGGGCACGGAGCTGCACTGCTATGCCTCTGCACGATAGGTTCCATTTGGTCCCTATCCTATTTGGCCACATACCATTCAGCTTTTGAAGTTTTATGATTCATGCCACATGACTTTGATACCATTACACAACCCTGATTTTTACTGTCTCTTTTTGCAGGCGTGTCAGAAGCAACAGTGCTGAAGCTTTTTGGAGAACATTTCTTCACTTTCTGTAAGATGTCAGGGTATGACCGAATGCTACAGACTCTAGGAGGGAATCTAACTGAATTTATTGAGAATCTAGATGCTCTTCATAGTTACCTTGCATTGTCTTACCAGGTACTATTTTCTCTCTCTGTTCCTGAGAATTAATAAGGCTCTTCCACATAACAGTTCTAGTTCAGTGTTGGGTAGGAAGTCCTCTGTCCACCACCCAGGCCTCCTTAAAGAAGAAAACCCATGGAATGTCAGTGGAATTGCTAGCCTGAAGCAACAAGGGGGATTTTACAGATAGATTAAATGCAAGCCAATTCAGAATAATGTCTGTAGTTACCTCTCTGCATGGGAAGGCCATGTGTAGAGTCAATACTCCAGCGTTGCCCTTCCCATACCAACTCTGGTCAGTCCCATTGGAAGAAACCCTTGGAAGTCTAAAAGCAAGATGGGCACTACCTCTTTTTGGGCTTCCCTTCCTACCCTTGAATTTTGTGAGTGAAGTCCCAAGGAGTAAAAACAAAAATGAATGAAACATGATGAAATGAAGCATTCTCTCTTAAAAGTTAGCTTTTTCTTCCCCGTTACAGTTTTCAGTTGTCCTGTATTTGCTGACAGTCATTATCTACCTGAAGTCATCAGTAGGCAACTCCCTCAACTATTTTGAATCAACATCAGTTAGGATGATGGTTGATGTCAGTGAAGCTATGCTGATTTTGTGACCAAGAGATTTTTCCCCATGCAGCTCTAGAGTGAAAGACTATACAGTATGAAAACTTGAGTTTTCCAATCCCTTTTATGTAGGAAATGAATGCGCCATCCTTTCGTGTGGAGAAGAGGACAGATGGGGCAATGTTACTTCACTACTATTCTGACAGGAGGGGCCTGTGTCATATTGTACCAGGTAAAATGCAATATTACCTCATTGTAGGTTCTACTGGCTTCTCAGATGCCCATCATCCAGACATGCTTTTCTTGAAAATTCGACAGAAGGGAAGTCAGCTAACAAGGGCCTCCACTGAGAGGGCTACCATAATGGGTGGGATCTACTACAGAGATTCCTAGGATTTCAGCACTTCTTGGATCACTTTCAAAGCCTTGCTCAACTTTGTTCTTGCATCTCTCACTCTTTTTTTCTTTCTTTCTGAAAAATCAGCTCTTCTCTTCCATTGCTTTCTTCCATGCTCTAGTCTTGTCCTCCTTGAAGACCTTTAAAAACATGCTTCTCCTAAAGGGCCTGAAATATATAGTCCTGTCTACAAGGAAGCATTTACAAAAGGAAGCTAGAATATATACTTTAAAAGTAAGTTAAGAAAATGCCAGGGCCAAGGACATGCTGCAGTCCACTAGATACTTTCTTTCTCACGTTGCTTCTTTTTATACTGTCAATCTAGACTGTAAGATCTTCAGTGAAGGGACTTGTCATCTTATTCACAAAGTGCATAGCTCTTTTGACAATCAGGACTCGTAGTAGAGATGATATCTTGCATTAGACCAACAAGATTTTTGCAAAAAAAATTCTATAATTTATTTTTAAATCTGTATTTTAAAAAATTAAAATTCTAACTTTTTTAAATGTAAATTTTAAGATTTTATCATTTACATTTTTTAAATGATACAATTTTAATTTTTTTGCAAAAATCTTGTTGGTCTAATGAAAGATATCATCTCAACTACTAGTCCTGATTGCCTTTTCCTCTCCACCAATACGATTACAACTTGGATACCTACCTCTTTTGAGGCATATAGAGGAATTCCTTTCCTGATCCACATCAGGTAAACCAGGCCTCAGTTTCCCCTCATTGGCTTAGTAATTTATATGGTTCAGCCACAGGTCAAGCCATAAGGTCCTTCTTTATAGCAAGGGCAGACCTTGACTAAGAGACTTATGAGACTGGAGAGGGTAAAAGACTGGAAAGTATTTTTTGGACTCATTATCACAGAAGAAGTGCCTCCTCCCCTCTCTGAAGCTCCAGACTAAGACTCCTACATAAGAGCAGCTGCACACAACAGGATTCAAGTCAATACCATTTATTTTATCAGAGGCCATTTTAGTCCTGTCCTCACCACTTGAAAACAGCCTGTCAATCCATAAGCAACTTATATCCTTGCTGGAGGCCTGTCCCTCTCTGCCCCCTTTCCTCATCTCCAGTCCTTCCCCCAAGGCCTATCAGTGCAGTGGGTGAGACATTCCAGATCTTGCCTTTTCCTTCATATACCCAGAGTTTACTTAATTTAGCCTTGAACTGTTTCCTAGCCTGCCTTATGTCAGGCCTCTAGTCACACGTTTTCTGGACTGTAAATCCCAGTGTTTCTTTAATTTTCATTCAAATGAGGATTGTGATTTCACTTGGTTTATAGTCTGTGTTAAAGGGCCTGACCAGTATTTTATCACTGAGTCTCAGCTTCTGAAATCAGACGGGGTAGCCTCCTTTCCAGCCAGTACATCTCCAGTACAGGTTGGTGCATCCAAATTGTTTGCTTAATACAGTGGGGATAAATGGGGGAAATAAGGTGAGCTGAGATTCAAGCTTCAGATTTGACTCTGGATTCAAACCTTCCTAGGTCTACAGATGCTGAGAATGAGGATTTTGATCTTGGGCCATCACTAATGAAAGACTACACGCAGTCAGAAAATCATTATCCCTCCCTCTCCGCACCCTTCACCACAGCCCAATCCAGGAAAATTACAATTAAAAGAAAAAAATTGAAACCTTCACTTTGGAAGCAATATCACAGTCACTTGTGCCTCTTTTCTTTGGCAAAATTTCAAGCACACTTAACCCAGTCTTAAACCAACGTAAAAGTGCATCTAATGCAGGACTTTGCACTCACTTTAGAGACTTAGTTTGGAAACATACAATTAGTTATGTAACTTTGGTGTTAGGTAAGGCTGGGGCTACAGAACTTTGTAAGGCATGTGTAGATCCTATCCACTTTTAAAGTAGACAGCACTGTTGGGTGCTTTTTTTAACAAATGGGAGTAAGTATCCATGTGCATGTGTGTGCATACATGTTTTGTTGTGGACAGTGGGAATCGTAATGGGCATTGGTGCTTATGGTTTTCATGTCTGTGGCTGTGTTAATGTAAAAAAATCTAGACTGTTGGGGTTACACATCTGGGTTATGTGTCCAGTAATGGGTGCTCTATATATAACCTAGAGAGGCAGAAAGGAAGACACCTGTGTAGCATCTGTATCAGCTGAATGGTGGGTTCTTTGGTTTATAATTTTACATTAGATGGAGGAGAACCAACTTGCTCTCTCCTTTTGGTAAATTAGTTATAAGAGTTATCCAGTGCTTTCACCCAGAAAAGACATCTACAAGCTTCACTGTTCTAATTCTGGGCCAAATTCTGACTCAGTTCTGCTAGGAAGAAATCCCACTTCCCTAAAACTGCACTAGTGTGAACCTTGAGTTTAACAGAATGAAGACTATAGTCCTCAAAATCACTGATCCCCAAGAGTTTCCAGAAATGTAGGTCAATATAAAAATCTTATTAGAAACTTACTTTGCATAGCATCTTTCATGCCAATATATTAAAAATTAAATAACACAGGCAGTAAGATAAATCCTAGAAGAAATTGCTGAGAAGCACAAGGAAGAAAAGAGAGGTTTCCCAAATAGAGGTGCAGGCTCCAAGAAACTCTGGTAACACCAGGAGGTCCCCAAACTAATCTATGATTCCTTGTAATACAGGTATCTTAGAGTCTGTTGCCAGAGATTTCTTCAACAGTGAAGTGACAATGGAAATTCTTAATCAAAGTGAAGACAGGGAGCGCACTGGGAAAAAGGAGCATGTGGTCTTTCTTGTTCTGCAGAAGCTTAAAAGACCAGAGAGAAAGACAAGAGAAGAAACAAATATGGAAAGTGGCAACTCACCTAACAGTAACAAGGTGCAATAATAGATTTACAGAAAGGAGGGAGATTACTTATAATTTTCTGGGTCAGCCTGTTTTCTTTTAATGTGCAAGCAATATCTGAGAGAAAACAAGCCATGTGTTCTCCCTGTCACTGTAGAGTTGGATTGGATTGATGATGGGGTTTGTCCAATTATCCTTTACCTTGTGTCTTGCAAAGTCAATTAGATTAAAGGAAAATAAGGGCAAAACAACTGTATTTGGTTCAGGTGTAAATGATTACATGAGGTGAAGGGCTCTAGGAAATTAGCTTGCAGAACTCTAGATAAGTTCTTGATTAAGCTGAATAACCACAAAGAAAATAATAACTAAAAATTGTTATATTTGAGAAAAGCATGTGGTCAGGTCATTGGAAGAGTGCCATTATCCATATGCATAATGAAACAAAGTGATGGTTCCATGTGCAACCTTAACTTTGTCATTTCCTGTCTTTACATACTTAAGTTTCAACATTATTGCTGTCCTATTGTAATGTATTTAAATGGCCTATCCATCTGAATCATGTCATACTCACACACACAAACACTCTCTCATCTTAGACGGCTTTCTTCTCTGAGGCACAAGATGTAGTCTTTCAGCAAATGAAGAACTGCTCTGCTTTGTCATGTCACCTTAAAAAGAAATCCCCCTGGGACATTGTGCGAAGTGTTGTGAAATTTAGGAAAGGTGAGTGCATGTCTTCCTAACCTCAGCTATGGTGATCATAATGAGATATGGGTCTCAGCTGTGTGGACAAACAGACACCTTCCCAGGAGGGGAACAGCTTGCTGGAAATAAATACTGGAGGCAGTAAAACACTCCAGATGATGTTATTGATTTATGTAGGGATTGCAGAGTTTGGACTGGGGGAAGGAGAGAGAGAGATTCTTGTTTAAATATGATCAGACCATTATTTGCCCTTTTAATAGATCTTCATTATCACTGATGTAGCTTGTTGCATTGGCTTATACACTCTGAAAAATTATTTATTTTGCAGGCCATTTTTCCACTTTATTTTATTTAGATTATTTTTAAAATTTTAGAGTGACAAAGGACTAGACACTCAGAAGACTGATAACAGCATGTGGAGCCTTTGACCTGTAGGTGTGTTTGTATAGTCAGTATAAAATGGTCCCAACCCTTTGACCAGTGAAATGGCCACACCACAAAAAAGAGAGCACAGAAGGCAGGTGGTGTCACCACTGAGGCCAGTGACTAAGCTGAATAGGAAGAATGAATGATCTTCTCTTTATAACAGTGGTCTTTCCTGGGCCAAGCTGAGATCTTGTTACGTATTGCTCTTGCCAATGCTACACAAATTCTGTGGATCAAGAGAGGACTTCATTTTTAATGGCTGTGAATCCGGCACCTTGTAGACTGTCATAGTTTCATAGTTGGTAGGGTCGGAAGGGACCTGAGCTGATCATCAAGTCTGACCCCCTGCCATGGGCAGGAAAGATTACCTGGGTCAAATGACCCCGGCAAGGTGTCTATCTAGCCTCCTCTTAAAGACCCCCAGGGTAGGAGGGAGCACCAATTCCCTTGGAAGTTGGTTCCAGATCCTAGCCGCCTGACTGTGAAGTAGTGCCTCCTGATGTCTAGCCTGAATCTACTCTCTGTCAGCTTATGGCTGTTATTCCTTGTTACTCCCAGAAGTGCTTGGGGGACCAGGGACTCTCCCATTGCCTGCTGGTCTCCCTTTGCCAGTTTATAGATGGCCAGCAGGTCCCCCCTCAGCCTTTTCTTGTGGAGGCTGAACAGGTTCAGGTCCCGTAGCCTCTCCTCATAGGGCCTGCCCTGCTGCTCCCAATCATGTGAGTGGCCCTCCTCTGGACCCTCTCCATGTTGTCCACATCCCTCTTGAAGTGCGGCGCCCAGAACTGGAACTGTCCAAATGCATAAGCATTAACAAAATTGTGAATGGATTTATTGTTCATGTCAGTGAGGCATTAATACTGCTTTAACCAGGCACAGTCTGGGGAACTACTATACATGGTTTCCATTTACAGCTTAGCCAACATAATTTTCTGCCCCATAATACCTTCACCTTCCAGTGTAGGAACTCTCCAAAGCTAACACAGCTACTTTGTGTAGCAGTTTTTCAAATATGCGCAGATGTTAACTAAGGATGAAACTACCAAGCTTATTCTACTTTATAACCAGGGTTGGAAGAGGTGAAAGGCCAGCATGCCAATTAACTCCCCACTTCATTCCTAGATGTGATACAGTTACACACATTTGTGAGAATCTGTTTGGGTACATTTTTGCGCTCTTTCATTGGCAATGAGAAAAATATGCAATTATTCATGCTTTCTGTCCTCCATGGGGTTGTAATAGCAAATGGAATCCCATCTAGTTACTGCTGTTATGGTCCCACCAAGTGCACAGTTGATAATGCTCCTCTGTGCTACCCAGTACTTTTGTGATGAAAATATGCCATCTCAAAAGTTACTGAGGTAGCCGTCAGCATTACACAATGCTGCTTTGTATAGCAACAGTAGTGCTATTTACATTACAGTGGTCATAGACTTGTTCTGTCAGCATTTTCTGTTTTTATGAGTTTAATATATTGCCCATAAAACTCTACTGTGGCCAAAACTTTGGCATGAGTGTGTCAATTTGATAGCATTTGTTTAAATTGGGGAAATTAAAATTCATGTGGTCATTGTACACTTGTAAGTGACCATAAGGTTCTGCCTTGGTTCAGGGACTAGCCTACTCTCAAACAGTCTCTGGTTTCCTATTTCCAGGCAGATGGTTTTATGGTTCTTCCCTGCTGCACCTTTTTTTAGCCTCTTCTTACTATCTTTACATTTGCTGGTGATGAGGCTAAATTTCTGCACCTTGCTATGGAGACCAAAAATTAAGTTCAGTTTACTTCAAATAAATGTTCAAAACCTCCTCATTACATTGTGCTCCTCCCAGAATCAAAGCAGATTAGAGAGAGTTTAAAAGTTTGTGATGGAAGTATTTGATGAAATACAGCTTTTTGATAATGTTGCATTGAAATCTTTGGAGTTTTGCTGAAAATCTGAAAAAAATATTGTTTTTTCCACAAAAAAATGCAAATCATTCCATTAAACATGGAATGGAAAATCTGTGTTTTTCAAGGCTTTTTATCACAAAAATAAAATGCAGGGGGTTTTTGATTGACTTGAACTCTGTGAAAATGGGGTGGTGTGGGTCACGTTGAAATGCAATGAGAGTGATGCCCTGTCTCACTTGTGCCTTCCAAAGTCTTCCCTTTAATCCTTACTGCAGTGATTTTCAACCAGGGTGTCACAGCACCCTGGGGTACCTTGAAATCCTCTCAAGGTTGGCACACAGTGTTAGCACTGTTAGATGTACAAACATGATTTACAAGATAAACCCAGATATTTCAAATAAAAAAAATCAAATTATTAAAAATATTGCAACCTATTGTGGTCTTTTTGACTCCTTTGCAATAAAAAAAAGGCTCTATTTTTGTGTAGTCAAAAAAAGAGTTGGCATTTTTCAAGCGGTGCCTTAAATCTGACAAGGGTTGCATTGATTCGAAAAAGGTTGAGAACCACTGCCTTATTGCATGTTTTTTTCCCCCAGGAAACCTGTTATCAACTTTTGAACCCATTTATCCACAGAGGCTTTGGGTAGAAGAGAGAACATTCTGCAATGCTTTTCCTTTCCACATTGTGTTTGATGAAGCAGTAAGAAAGCCTTCTTAGTTTATACCTTGTAGCTAAAGATGCTATGGCAAAGAGTAGACATGGAAGACTGGATCTTTAGCTGGTGTATACTCCATTGGCTCTGCTGAATGGGATGGAGTACAAGCCTTTTACAAGAGCCAGAGACCTGTGTTTTCTCTCACTACGTTGGAAACTGTAGGGCATCACCCTTTTTGTCTTAATAATAATAGAGCGTCACCTTTTTTGTCCATGGGGCTTTCTAGCCTGGAAAAGCGCAGGCTCAGGGGTGATCTGATGGCCACCTATAAGTTTATCGGGGTGACCACCAGGATCTGGGGGAACGTTTGTTCACCAGAGCGCCCCAAGGGATGACGAGGTCGAATGGTTATAAACTACTGTGAGACCGTTTCAGGCGGCACATAAGGAAGAATTTCTTTACTGTCCGAGCCCCCAAGGTCTGGAACAGCCTGCCATCAGAGGTGGTTCAAGCACCTACATTGAACACCTTCAAGAGCAAATTGGATGCTTATCTTGCTGGGATCCTATGCCCCAGCTGACTTCCTGCCCTTCGGGCGGGGGGCTGGACTCGATGATCTTCCGAGGTCCCTTCCAGCCCTAATGTCTATGAAATCTATGAAATATTTATACCAGTGTGACTAAAAGTAGAAATGAAAAACATCTCACTCTGCACAGTCAGGTCTAGTCCACACTACAAAGCTTTGCAGGCAGAACTTTGAGTATATCTATGCTGAGTTTCCGTGCAGTGGTAGAACCTTCCCTACTGTCGGCAGAGTTGTTTTTCCTTTGCCAAAGCTTGCTGCTGCCTGGGAATTGGCTGAAGACACACCTAGATGTACATACAGGAACAGAGATGTGTACATGCCTCCTTCTGGCTGCTTTGCTACCTTCATCAGCTGGTGTCTTCCCAGGGCTCACTTCAGGCTCTGGCAGCACACCTGCCAGGCAGAGCTGCCAGAAGTGCATGGATGTGCACATGCCCTAGTGATGTGCTAGTGGTGGTTTGCCAGCTACCAGAACTTCTCCCACTAGAACCAAGTGAGTACTTGGCTTCAATGTTCCCAGTGGGCAGCGGTTTTCCAGTACTTTAGGGGCACCCTGCGCTGTTTTTTACTACCTCACTATTCCCTCCCCATTAGCTGTGAATGTAGAACTGCTTTACTTAAACTGAGTTGAATTGTACTTAAATTGCATCATGTTACTCCAATACAATTAGGACTGAGGTTCACAAGAATACTTTAGAGCAGAACTGCATTCATTTGTCTGTCTCACTAACTTTGCCCTATACTGGCAACTGTGGAGGTGACAGGCCACCATCTCTTTCAGTGTCTTAGGGTCCTGGCAGCCTGAAGTCTCTATCCCGTCCTTGAACCCATTGCAAGTTGCTTTCTTTTGAGTGGGATCTATTCCCCTTTGCCCAGAGGCATGTATTTGCTGGAAGCTCAGACTGCATTTCTGATGCCTTGGCCAGTCTTCCTTAAGATACCAACAGTGATAGGAGCCTCTTTCGAAATAGGGAAAGTGAATAAGACTAGACACATGTTTATGCAATCCAGAATTGTAAATGACCAACTCTTTGTCTCACACACAGTAGCATTATTTTCTCTTGGATTTGAAAGATGTTTCTCTAACCCTTGTTTATAACTTTCCTCCTTGTCTTTAGCTACGGATCAAGCAGGCAGGTACAAATATTCAAAAGTATGTACCAGGCCTACAGATATCAGGGACCCGATTAAACAAGCACTTCACCATAGTCCATCCACAAATTACTTTCACCATTGTCAGCATCAGGAAGTTTATCAACAGCCAGTTTGTCCTCAAGGCATGCAGAGAAATGTTGCCTGAACTATGGAGAAACCAGACCAGCCTGAAACTCAGAGGTACCAACAAATAGGTGCTTTTTAGTGCTGTCTGTGTGTAGTGAAGAACAAGTGACAAGCTTGAAGGAGGCTGAATTTCCTTAAATATTTCTTTTGCATTGAAGAAACTGGATTATTCTTTCCACTAATTGTTAGACCAAGGCTTACCAAATATAGACCAACCCTTATGGCAAGTTTATCTTGTAGACCACATGCTGCTCAGTTAAAATGCTAGTTGTCATTGTGTGAGACTTTCAAATGCATTCAGCATTTCCCTAACACTTAGAGTTTTACCATTGACTTCAATGGAAGTTAAGCTAACACTGGGAACTATTGATAACCCTTCCTTGTATGCTTATTTGTTATTAGACTGGGTCCTGCTGGTTTTTTTTAGTGGCATCCAGGTTATTATTCCCATGAAGTGTCTGGATGACTAGAAGAATCCCAGCAGGAGGAATTTGCTTCATTGAAACAGTCAGCTTTCCACGGACAGCAGCAACTGCTGTGCTGGCCATCCGTGTTCCACACTCCACGTCTTGTGAGTTTTTCAGTGGGAGCTCACATTCACTATGTTTTTAGACACGCCCATCTCTTGTATGAAGTTCAAATATTGTTTTTTTCACAGATATGCGGTGGTCTGTGCCTGCTGTGTATGCCAGACCATCTTTAGTCTTAAAAAATGCCAAATACTTCTGGATTCATCCCAAGGTGTGTGGGGTACAGTAGTATTTATTGTACCTGAAGAAAATAAGCACATTTATGTTGGTTTTATCTCAGACTAATATATAGGTTGGAAAGACTTTCTGATCAGGGAACCTGCACGGCAGCATATTTGTAAGAGTGAATGTGTTGGTGTTAACACTTTTACGTATTTCTATTTGAAGGACAAATGATCTGGATGGAGTCCTTGCAGTGCATGATGTACCTGTGTTCACCCAAGCTCCGCAGTTTAGAAGAGCTGGAGGAACAAAAAATGCACCTTTCTGATATTGCACAGCATGACACAACTAGGGACCTCATTCTACTGAACCAGCAGCGCCTGGCAGAGATAGAGCTGTCCAACCAGCTGGAGAGAAAGAAGGAAGAGCTCAGGATCCTTTCAAAAAACTTAGAGGCTGAAAAGAAGAAAACAGAAACCTTGCTATACGCCATGCTGCCGAAACACGTGGCCAATCGGCTCAAGGAGGGTAAAAAGGTGGAGGCAGGTACTGGCTTTTCATTATGATTCATACTTTTGCAGTTCTCCCAATGTGGCTGGCCATAAAAACTTTTCAGTTTCCTTTATAAGTGATGATTATCAGAGCATTCCTCTTTCTCAATACTGGGGAAGAACACATAGGTATTCTGCAAATATCACTAAAATATTAGCCAGTCACAAAGATAACATAACATCATGAAGTTCTTTAAAGGTAAATCCTATTATGAATCAGTACTGGGGCTGACTTACTGTGGCAGGGCACCTTTGGGTGCCTGCCAATTTAAGGGAAGAGGCAGGCAGCTATCAGGTGCCTGATGAGGGCAGCCATTTTGGACAAGCCATATAAAGGCTGCAGTTGCCTGCGGCTGGAGGAGGCAGAAACATTGTCTAGCTGAGCTGCAGAAGGAAAATCCTTGGCAGGAGCTTATGGGGATGGTTTGGAGGCTCCTGGTCCTGAGCATGACCTAAAACTACCCTGCTGGGGAAGAATGACCTGGTGGGGCTCCTGGTGGCGCAGGAGTCTCCAGGAAATGCCAGGCCAGTAACCTCCCTGGTGAAAGATGAGGAGGGGTGCCTTAACCCCAGCCCCCCACCTTTGGGTGGGCTTTGGAGGCAGCTGGGGAAGTGGTGGGGGCCAGGTATGCCCACTTGTAGGCACCTGAGCCCAGCAGGGATACGAGGTCCTGGAGACCCCAGAGGAGGTAGTATGGAGAGCATTGGGAGGCCCCGCACAGAGTAGGGCTGAAGTGCGAGTAGGCCTGAAGGACAGCTCAAGGGGTGTGCTGAGTAGGGCCAAATGGGAATAAATTTGAAGGACAGCGCAAGGGCCAGCCCCATGAGAAATTGTGCCGGGCGAGAGGCTTGGGGCAAAATTATCCCAGGGTTTGGCATAAGGCTGACCCACATAGAGTAGGGGAACTTGCAGCAACCAAAGGGGCTGCGTGGCAAGGCCAGTATGAGCGTAGTAAAGCCTGATGGCCCAAGAGGGGTCGCTCAAGGAGGAGCAGGGCAGTTGAGTGTGGCAGAGGCCCTGGTGAGAGATGGGGGGGAGTGGAAAAGGCCTCCTGTGACAGGGGAGGTGGTGTGAATGTGTGTGTGTGTGGAGCCCAATTTTGGACTCAGTTTGCTCTGGTGTCAGACTGGGAGTAATATTAATCTGGATGCCATCTGTGAAGCATGGGCAGTGGTGTAAGGGAGGTCGGAGCCACAGATAGCACCCCCTGGCATCGGGGCAGCAATGGGCAGTCTCCCGCATGTACCATCTGTATATGGTAACAACAAAGTCATGGCAGGTGGGATCGGGTGGATTGCCCCATAGAGACAGGTGGGCGGGCCATTGTGAGACCTGGCCCTGAGAGCTGCCACTTGTCATGCTTTCCATGAAGGCAAGGACCAGGTACAGACATTAGTTTTACTGGTATAAGTGATTGGAAACTGGTCTATACCTGTAACAGAACAGAAATTTGGCGTACATACATTGGCTTAAAAATGGTGGAACCCGGTCTAAGATTTCCTCTGCCCACACAAAGAGTGAATGCGTGATCTGTTTGCTACCGATCTAAACTACGCCACTTACAGAAAACTCTGCAACTTGGATCAATTCCACCTCAGGCTTTTTGAACATCTGTGCCTATCCAAAATTAGTACTTGTAGACTGTTTCTAATCTGAAGACTACTAAAACAAGGAAGGTTGATTTAATAAAGTTCCATTTAGCACAGCACTTCAAAGATGCTTAAATTCTGAACTCCTGGTCAAACACTCACAGTTGTGAGCTCAAAATACATTTCCTCACTTCTCCCATCAGACAGACATCAAATATAACTCCTAACCCAGCAGTGTGATAAGGGGGTCCAAGTGGGACACTAGCCCCAGCTCCTGACTATGAGTGGGTGCCAGAATACCCCCTGGGAGTCTTTGCAATGGCAAGTGCAGCCTTGTGCTACCAGGCCACATAGGAGCTAGACAGGCCTACTGATGTATCTGGAGGGCAGGGTGCAAGTGGGACAAATAGAATGGCAGCCCCCCAGGGGAGTCTCTGCCACAGCAGACACAGCCCTTTTCCCAGTAGCAAATCTGGGGGTAGATAGAGTGAACAGGGCACCAGGGGCAGTTCCCAGGGAACCCGTGTTAAGAGACTGCTGCAGCTGAAGCTGACACTGCTACAGCAGCAGCGGCAGCAGTAGTAGCTGCCTTCAGTGTGTGGAGAGCTGGGGGAAAATAAGACTTAATTCCTCCTTCCCTCACCTCCAATTCAGTCTCCAGTGGTTGCCATATCCCCCACTCACCCTCCCTGTGCAGTGAAGGAGCTCACGCCACCCCTGTCCTAACATCGAGCTTCTGACTCCTCAGCTCACAGGCACATGTTAAATGTGAGCATCTGAGCTTCAAACTGTGACTGTGAAAAACGGTGGGCATGAAATTCAAGTTACTCTTAAAAAAATATGTGCCTTCAATTCTGTTCTGAAAAAGGAATACTTGGGGAGGGGGCAGGGAGTTGTAAAAGACCCTCCAGCTCCAGTTGTGCAGCCTTAACGTGAGGATTTTTCTGAGGTATTTGCCTTTCACTACCGGTTCCTGGGAAAGGAGTAAACCCTTTTTTGTCAAATCCCATCTAAAGAGTTACATGGAATTTGTCAACCGACCAAATTAAAAAGAGAAAACAAGTGGTTAAAATTCTCCCAATTTTGACCACATGCCTTTAAATATTAAAAGTTATTCTGGCATTCCAGAGGCATCTACAGAATGTAAGGGATTACACCCCATAGAAAAAGCAATATAACTTGGTACTTAACTCTCTCAGGTTTCTTTGAGAAAGCCAGCTTCTGTAGTCTAAAGCCCTTATTCAAAGCCCATTGAAGTATAAGAAAAACTGCTGGGTGACTGAGATCCTAAATTAGTCAATAGGATTTAGTTCAGTAAATGACAAAAATCTGTTGTCAACCTTTATCAAATATCTGATTTCTCCCTTAGGGGAATTTAATTCATGCACAGTACTCTTCAGTGATGTAGTGACTTTTACAAATATCTGTGCTGCCTGTGAGCCCATTCAAATAGTGAACATGCTGAATTCAATGTATTCAAAGTTTGATCGATTAACCAATGTTCATGAGGTTTATAAGGTAAGCATTCCTACTATTTGTCTTCTGGAAGAGTAATGATATTCACTGTCATTTTGGTTCTCATGCTTGCATTTAGTCCTTTATTCACATTTTTGCCTTATTAAAAAAAAAAATTCTTGGTAGCTACAACAAAGTGAACCCCTATGAATATTTAAGATAATGGATTTTTATCCAGTGAAAGAGAATGGGGTGCAATCATCATCCCATATAACATTCAACATTTTAGGATAAGGATTTTGCAACTTACCTATATTCCAGCCACACCATAAGGATTCACGAAGTAAGAGTTTGCTTTTGAAGAACTTGGAAAATATATAAAACAAGCCACAAGGGCTGTGTCTAGATGAGTGTGGATGTGTGGTATGTGGCGCCACAGACCTGTCTGCAGCGCCATACACCACACATGCAGGCATTCCCCATGCTACCTTGTGGCGGGGGAGGAAGGGAAGGTTGACCCCAGAAGATCCCAAGGTAAAAAAACCTGCACCTTAAAAAAGCAGGGCAGTGTTTGTGGCAGCAGCACATGCCACCCAAAGTGGAGCCTGGCCTGCCCGAGGCGTTCTCCAGCTGCTGGCCAGGCTCCCAGCTGCAGGAACACCATGGCTGCACCTCCCTGAGGTGCCCAGAACCACAGGTAAGGCTGCTAGGACTAGCAAAGTTGCTGGCCCCAACCTCCCCTACCCCACCCAAGGTAACCTGCCAAGTGCTAGAGGGCATGTGGCACAAGCGTTTCCAGGGAACAAGAAGCAGCAGCGCAAGGTGTGCCACTGCTTCTTGTCACCAGGGAAACAAAGGTGTGTGCTTGTGTGGACATGGCCAAGGAGTTCACTCAGTCACGTCCTAGATCCATGCTTGGGTCTGTCATATGTTCCATACTTCAATGGAAGATAAAAGCATTTAGCCGCTCATGATATTGGACTTCTGGTTTATGTTCTGTGGTCCATTGAAATCAATGGGGTTTTTCCCATAGATTTCAGTGGTTTTCTGACCAAGCCCCTAATGATTACAGCATTTTCCCATTGTTCCCATTTTCCCATTGTTTCAGGTTGAAACAATAGGCGATGCATACATGGTGGTTGGAGGAGTCCCCATACCTGTTGCCAGTCATGCAGAAAGAGTGGCCAATTTTGCCCTAGGTATGCAAATTGCTGCCAGAGAAGTCATGAATCCAGTCACTGGAGATCCTATTCAGGTAGGGAACAGCTGAAATCACTGTCTGATATAAGATACTACACTTGGGCCTTGATTCAACAAAGCACATGACCATACACTTAGCTTTAAGCAAGAACTCAAGTCTTACTGAAAGCAATGAAACTGAAACATGTGCTTAAGGGAAAGTATGCATTTAAGTGCTTTCCTGAATCTGCCCATCAGGATTCAATCTTGCAAGTGCCAAAACTCTCATCTAGAATTCAGCAGAGTATTTAGGCATCCATTTAACTTCAACTGTGTAAGCAGGCCCACTGACAACTTACAGGAGTGAGTACTTAGGGATCTATTCGATTGCTGGCATCTGTGTCCATGGATAATTAGCAAGTTACTTAATGACTCCTGCATAAGTTAAAAAAATGACTCCATGATTTATTCCAACATTGCTTCTCTTCTGTCTGAGCTGTTTAACAAGGACCAGGGCTGGGACTTGTTTCTGCTTGTTGAGCAAGAGGAAGTAATTTTACAAATCACCGCTGCATTAGTATTAAAATGCATTATTAACTACTAGCTAAAAGGATGACAGACTTCAAGGTATTAGAAAATGCACACGAGGTAATAGTGCACTGTAAAGAATAATTCAGAACTTCTTCTAGCACCACAGTTTGCTGTTGGTATTTTTTCTGGAATTAATTTACCCTAAGACAGTGGGAAACACTTTTATCCTATGCCAATTGGTGGCTGGACAAGGCATGATGTATTTCATGACTGGGTATCTGCCATGGTAACTGTATGGTGGACTGCTAAGAAGGGTCCAGAAGCATGAGTTTCAGCCTAACTCCAGACTGGTGCCAAAGACTGTCCCTGGAGGACAAGGATAACCAAGCCATAAATGTGTACTTGGTCATTCAGGCTGAAAAGTCCGAGGCTGCTGGATGTGATGCTGGCCACATCAAATCTTTTGTGTGCCACTGGAGACTGAAACCATTGTGCCTTTACCATGCTAGTCCAGTGGGATACTAGGCTCAGGTGGACCTTTGATCCTATGACCTTGTCTGATATACTGAAGTTAAGTCTGTTCTGAGATGTTGATGCAACTTCTGGTAGTCAGTAGGCTAGTGCCCTTTGCACAGAGTGAATATCTTCCTGACTTAATTACATCTGTTCTCTGATGCAAGAGAATCTTGTTCTTTACAAACCAGAAACGCTCTAAGAAACAAGTGCCTTTTCCTGTAGTCACTAGTTAAACACCTATTACAGTAGTATGTTATCAGTATGTTTCCATTGATGGGGGTTGTGCCGCTCCCATGAAATCAGAAAGAGTTGTGCCCACTTCATGCCCAGTTGGGACTTATCTCATTACCTATCTATCAATGTTGTAAGCAGGGCCAGAGATAGAAATGCAATATACAGAAAACACCAGAACATTCAGCCAGTCCTCCTTTCATTTCCCCATTTGGGTGAATTGTAATATCAGCTCCATTTTCTGGAAACCGGTAAGATAATCTCTTGGTATGACCTTGAATAGCAGTTTCCAAAATGCACTACAGGTTATCTCTGATGATCAGTTCTAGTGCACAAACTGTTGCTTAGATGCTGCTCAGTACCCTTCAATGGAGTGGTGGATAGGGAAGGGCAGCTGACTGTTATTGATAGTCAGAATGAGGAGCCAATCCAATTTTCCAAACTTCCTGTTGTATTTATACTAACAGATCAGAGTCGGGATCCACACAGGACCTGTATTAGCTGGCGTAGTTGGTGAAAAGATGCCCAGGTACTGCTTGTTTGGAGATACTGTCAACACAGCTTCTCGCATGGAAAGTCATGGACTTCCTAATAAAATCCACCTCAGTCCAACAGCATTCAGGTAGAATAAAAATGTTAAATAAGGAGAGTCTGTTCTGCTTGTGCCAGGGCTGTCCAACTGGCAGTCCACGGACCTTGGCAGCCATCTCTCCATTTGCCATGTGGGGGGTTGTGTGCCACTGCCAGCAGGCAGGCAGGCTGTGGGCTACCAGCACCACTGCAGCCTATGCAATGGAGAGGCCATGGGGCCACCCCTTCAGTGCACAATCTGAGGAGTGCGTACCTCAGAGATTGCACTCAGGTGCCACAGGCAGCCCCTGACCTCTCCAAAATTGAACAGCCCAGGCTTATGCTATCGGGACACAAATAGTTAACTACTTTGGCTGAGACCCAGGATAGACACAGAGCCCTGATCTGAAGCTTACACTTAAGCTGGCAATTTTTTGAGATAGAAAAGCATGCATGATACAGTTTCATTTTTACACTTGTTAATAATTTGAAAACACTTCACCAGGGGATATGCTTTCTTACAGTGTGCTTCAAAATTCACACAGGCACTCATTGCTCCAGGAGGATCCAGAAAAAAATGCCTGTTTGCAAGCACATAAGACTTTATTGTTGCAGACAGTCAGAGCTTTGCAAGGAGATGTGCACCCCCAGCTAGGGGTGCATTGTCAGACTAAAGCAACAAGCAGTGCTGAGTGGAAGGACTGTTATGCAGATCTAGGAGAAACTGTAGTTGTTACACTATTTTGCAGAGGCGTATGGTGTGCAAACTCTATTATTATGTACAGGAACTTGCATAAAGAACTATCTACAGCAAAGAAATATCAGACTTCTTACTGCCCTTGCAAGGGTTTCAGACCTAGCCTCCTGCTCCCCTCCACCAGACTGTCCTGTGGGAGTGCTCTACATTCCAGGAGAGCTCACTTTGTGCCACATCAGCTGCTCATTTCTGTATTTGGCCTTCTTTTCTGGTCAAATGTCTGCCCCCTTTCTGATGGCATGGCCTTGCCTGTGATGCTGTTTAAAAAAATTGACGGCAGTACACTTGGTCCATATGTATACTCTTACTCCACAGTAAGGGCACATACATACATCTGGGGTGGTTAGGGGGATGTTAGATCATGTTAAAAATGGCCATCTGATCTTACATAGTTCACGTAGGTGCAGACCTTACACTTAGATCCCTAGTTAGTTCAGTCTAAGTGCAGACTGTACAGAAGTTCCAGGAAGGCTAGATTGGCCTAAAAATGATGGACCTGATCTAAGATAACCCTACCTCTGAGGTAGTCTAACTTACTTCAGGTTGGGCATTTTTAGACTGATCTAACCATCGCTAACTTCTATACAGTTCCCAAACAATATTTTCCTACTGGCCCCCTCTCCCAGCCCCCTGGCCCAGCCAGTCCCAGCTCCACACCCCAAGCCCGCCAAACCCCCCATCCCACAAACTGCTCCCGGCACCAATTTCATCAGTGTTCACCAATGCTGGGAGCTGAGTGAGTAAGTCCTGGGGCAGGG